AGCACTGAGGTATATATACCCTCCGCATCGTCAGATTTGATCGATTTTACCCCGTTATTTCAGTGTGTAGTACGAAGCCGTGTTTTGTCAACTTCAACTACCTGTATTATTTATGATTTTTTTTTAGCTCACCTGAGCCAAAGGCTCAAGTGAGCTTTTCTGATCAAAATTTGTCCGTTGTCTGTCGTCGTTGTTGTCGTTGTTGTCGTCGTTGTCGTTGTCGTCGTTGTAAACTTTTCACATTTTCATCTTCTTCTCAAGAACCACTGGGCCAATTTCAACCAAACTTGCTACAAAGTATCCTTGGGTGAAGGGGATTTAAGTTTGTTCAAATGAAGGGCCACACCCTTTTCCAAGGGGAGATAATTATGAATTGGAGAAAAATTAATGGCATTTTTAAAAAATCTTCTTCTCAAGAACCATTGGGCCAGGAAAGATGAAACTCATGTGGAATCATCCTCAGATAGTGTAGATCCAAATTTGTTCAAATCATGACCCCTGGGGGTAGGGTGGGGCCAAAATGGCCGATCAAAGTTTTACATAGGAGTATATAGGAAAAATCTTTAAAAATCTTCTTCTCAAGAACCACTGGGCCAGGAAAGATGAAACTCATGTGGAATCATCCTCAGGTAGTATAGATTCAAGTTTGTTCAAATCATGACCCCTGGGGCTAGGGTGGGGCCAAAATGGCCGATCAAAGTTTTACGTAGGAACATATAGGAAAAATCTTTAAAAATCTTCTTCTCAAGAACCACTGGGCCAGGAAAGATGAAACTGATGTGGATTCATCCTCAGGTAGTGTAGATTCAAATTTGTTAAATTCATGACCCCCGGGGGTAGGGTGGGGCCAAAATGGCAGATCAAAGTTTTACATAGGAATATATAGGAAAAATCTTTAAAAATCTTCTTCTCAAGAACCACTGGGCAAGGAAAGATGAATCTCATGTGGAATTAATCCCAGGTAGTGTAGATTCAAGTTTGTCCAAATCATGACCCCCGGGGGTAGGGTGGGGCCAAAATGGCCGATCAAAGTTTAACATAGGTATATATAGCGAAACCTTTTAAAATCCTCTGTAAAAGTACTTCAAATCCATGCTAAGTGATATTTATATGGAATCATTCTCATGTAGTGTAGATTCTAGTTTGTTCAAACCATGACCCCCTTGGAGGTTAAAATTTAAGCCCCCCCCCCCCCCAACTCAGTAAACTTTCAGTTCTGATCTGATATGTGCTTTTTCCTAGCAAATTGCTCAGGTGAGCGATGTGGCCCCTGGGCCTCTTGTTTATCAAGCTTTACACTACATGAGTATTGATGGTTTAACCTTTTAGGAATTAATTTCTTTTTTGAATTAAAGTCGTGGTAATTAATTTCTTACCTTCTTGTGAAGGTTCTCAAAAATATGCTGGAGTAGAACTATATATGATAAAGAGACAATGGAAATATCCAAGAGAAGTTCTTTATATGCAGAATTTGGCCAATTTATTTAGTCATTTACATGTATATTCTTTAGTTAAGAAGTACATGTAACGTTTACTAAAACAACGATTACATTGGTTCACATGGTGAAGATCATTGTGAAAATAGCAACTTACGTTAATTATGATTTCCACCGGTAGATATCTTATCGCTCTCCTTCATCTCATTTTTTGAAAATGAAACCTACAAATTATTTTCTTTGTATCTGACGAACGATTTAACTTGTTGAATAAAACGCAAAAGATTTGAAAAGGTCCTGATTTTCTGTGAAGAATAAAGAGCAGATCAAATACTTTCAATACAATAAAAGTAGCATTATTTTAAGAATTTTTCAGTTTAGAATATTTTTTATTCATATTCATATTTGCTTTTGTCAAAAAATGAGTGTTTTTTAATCTATTTTTTAGATATTGCCATTCTTTATGGTACATGTAATACATTTTGAATAATCCCTTCCATATATTTAATATACTGATAATTGCACTTATATCATCCTTATGAAATCCAAAGGAATATATCTAGCTTTGATTTACATTGTATTCAAAAGGAAAAAGTGTATTAACATTCTAATATGAGGCATTTATCTATCATTTTTCAGATTTGATTTTAAGAGTATATTGTTTTTGCTAACTTCATGTGGATTTTCAAAACCTCTTAGTTGATCTGAAAAGTGTGCTATTACAATAGTTATATATGTATTGATCTATCATATTAATTTTTCAATTATGCAACAATCTTTTAAGCAGTAAATATCTTAAACAAAAAAAGTTGTTTTATCAGTTTTTATCAAGTTGTAAAATATGTTTTTCGATAAGTTGGTGTAATTATTATATCATTGCTATTGCAATAGTTTTAAGACAAGAAACTTTACGGAAATACCCAGTAGTGTTTTTAGAAAATAGGATATGACATGATGAGATGTTTGCATTTTATCAGTTGTGGGCTTGGATAAATTTACTTTAATAATAAAAATCTAATGTGGTTGTATACATGTACGAACACATTGCAGTTGCTACCAAATTAACACAGGTAATTTATCTTTGTTCAGGTATATATGTTCTATCGATCTTGAAAATATTTAGGTCGTATTTTCTGAAAAAAAATCTCTAAATTAATAACCTTTTTGTAGGGATATTTTTGAGATAAATGAAAAAAAGTTGAATTTTTTGAGAATCATACTCAGTAGTCCAAAATACATTTATCTGATTCTATGTATACAGTTTTGCAAAATATAATTTGAAAAAGTAGGCCGTTGCAATTAATGTGTACGTTGTCCTATCATTTTGATACAATTTGTTAAGCAGTTAATCTTTAGAACTAAATGTTGTTATTTTAAGTTGTTAAAAAGTGATTTTTCTATAATTGATGTAAAATTGCGATTGAAGTGCTTTATGACGAGAAAGGTGAACTTCGCAGAAATACCCAGGAAAGATTTAAGATATTGTAAGATATAATTAGATACGATGCATGCATTTTATCATTTGTGGGCTTGGATAAAATAACTTGAATAAGGACAGTCTTGTGTGATTGCATACACATTGAATCGTTCCAAAATTAACAAAGATATTCCAATTTGTCTTTGTGCAATTAGTAATGTTATATCTCTCATAAAGAAATTTATATGTACCATATTCTGAAAACGTAGCCTTGCTGAGAGATATTCATGAGACAAACGAAAAAAAATACACGAGCATGAGAGAAATTATGTTATATTCAGAAGAGGATAAAAATGAGTAATTTGCATCGTTATACCTTTAAAAATTGTGTCTTATTTTGAATGAATTCTTAACTTTAAAAAAGTCCAACATTTCCTGTGTTCTTGGGCAAAATGCCTTTTGTCGTCCCCTTAACTTGAGACAAACTGTTTGGTTCTTGGTTCCGACAAACAGACGCATTTTTCCTTCGAACCCAGTCAATAAATGTATATTGTTAAATGAAATGCAGACAGCCCTGAAACAAAGTTATTGGTTTTATTGTCTTACATGTATGTAATGATTATAGTATTATGTTCTCGAATACAGCTGATATAATATATTAATAATTTTTATGCAATGAATTTTCTTATGATAAAACCACTAGTTAAATCTTTATGATAAAATCTTACTGCAGTCCATGGCAACATAGCAGTTTGGGTTTTTTCTCCAGAATTCATAACAGAAAACATTAAGCTAAAAAATTTCATTTATTTAAATGAGGAAAAAAATATCATCCATATAAACAATTACAAATTAAAGTGTTCCGCTGGGAGACATACCAGAATCAAAAAGAAAGCTTGACTAGAAATGCAGTTCAATAAATGATTACATAACAGTGTTCTCCCAGCCACAATATTGTTACAACACCCAGATGTGATAATGCGGTAAAATACAACATCAAACTTTATTAGAAACAAAAGTGGTAAGTAAATGATGACAAAACAGTGGTCTCCCAGCCATAATACCGGTATTGTAACAACACACATATGTGATAAAGTGGTAGAATACAGCATTTAACTTTATTTGAAACAGAGTAGTCCATTTAGCATCTGATCCAGATCTCATAATAAACCATGTCTTATTACCAGAAAAGTATTTACAAATGTAATATTACTTGACCCACAGTGAGCCAACCCTCCCTCAAACAAGTCGTAAAATTGATAAAAATTGACATCTTAATTTTCTTTTATCTGAATAAAAAAGCAAACTACTGCAATTATTGCTAGAATCATTGCGGTAATACAAAATGCAAAGCTAAAGCTGAAGCTTTGGGGTGGTGATCCTTTTATTAACTCGTCCTTTTTACTTGAAAATATTGCAATAGACAAGAGGAGGGAGATCACTGAAAAAAGAAATAAGTGCATGAATAAGAAAAACAACATTTTTTTCTATTGTGAATTAACTGTAACTTAGATCTGCAATTGCCCATAATTGCAAATTTTAATTTAGGAATAGTTTCATTTTTGGATTTATATGTTTATAATTTGGGTTTCGTAATACAATATAATTATCGTCAGACATTTTTATAATACTTTCAGGTGAATACAATGATTTGATTTTAAATGATTGACAAACCTCCGAAAATGGCAAGCCCAACAATCAACAAGATGCACTTCAGGGTGTTTTGTTTACAGCAACATTGGGGTACAATAGACACAGCTACACAGACTAAAAGTGACACAAAGCCAAGAACTGCAAATGATTGAACAGCCCTCATCCAATCTAGAATTTCAAGAAATAGATTTAACCAATGAGCATATCAAAGGGTTTAGATTATATTAAGTTCGGTACCATATCTCAGAAAATAATAGCACTGCATATCAGCCCATAGCCTACTTACAATTTTATTTTTTAAGAAAATGACCAAAATTGGACATTTTCTAAAATCGGTGATAATATGAATATATAAACCACAGAGTGTCCAGTCACAAAACCATTAAAGATAATTATACAAATTTTTATTAGAACTATTGTTCACAATATACTTAAATGTATATCTGAAATGTAATATTATTTATATGACCCATTAAAGCTTAGATTCTTTTGCGAAAATTAATTATTTTTGTCTTATTCGTAAGATAATTTGTAAAAATAGTTACTTTTATAGTAAAATAATTAAAATGATCAATCATAAGCAGTCTTAAAATTCCAGTCTTAACTCTGAGTAATTTTTTGTGATCCACTTTAACATCAATTTTAAATTTAAAGTGCAATTTTTTTAGTTTTAAAAGACTGACTTAAGACTTAAGACAGTTTCATGATCCCGGAGCCAGGTGATAGGAGCGAATTAAGGTAGGTCACGGGTTTACTGCATAAGAATTCTTACAAGAAAACATATATCCAGAAAGTTTGACATAACGTTCCTTAGAATTTACAGGAATTTAATAGTACCTGTAATTTTTATTCAGTTTACCTACATTGTACTATAGAGTTATTGAACTTATATTGGTGAATATTGGCACAAGTTGGCTGTTCCTTTATTATATAGCTAAAACATTTCCACATACTTTATAATAGTCATTCCAACTAAAAAAAACTCAAATTAATGATTTTTTAGTATCGGTATTCAAATTAACGTCTGTCCTGTAAGCGTTCAATATCGCATCATTCCGATGACCCTACCGATATGATTTGCTTATTTAGGTTTTAATGGGTCTAATATGTACTAAATTTTTAATAAATAATTTCATTTTGTGTGAAAAATACATCTTAGATGCCACTTCCTCTCTTTAATTTAGCTCCGAGAATTTGACCAGACGACTTTTTTGTTCAATATTGAACGCTCGTATTCGGAATATTTTGGGCATACTCGTATACGTACAATACAAACTCAGCGTTCATTAAAACGTCAAGATATTGAACGCTAAAATTCTCTAGATTTTTGGTAGTATTTTATTAGAGACTACTTATTAGCTATATAATAAGTAGTTTTATTGTTATATTACTGTAAACGCGCAGAATGGTTTTGAGTATTTCTTTACGGTTTATCTTTGAAATAAAGAAAATGAGGTTTTTAGCATATTTTTGGAGAAAGTTTCTTTGATAAAGGTAACTTTTTAAAGGCATAGACGAAATAAACAGGAATTGCAAAATGTAAAAATGAGGTTCTTACAGAGTGTAAACTTAACAGTGTTAACTTCGCCCCAGAACTCATGTTGTTGAGATACAGTATATGAATGAAGGATTTGGCGAAATTACTTTAATTTGCTAAACACAGCTATATAAAATTATAAAATAGTTTTTTTTCATTTTCGTATTCAAAAAACTAATGTTACTTTAATACTTACCGCTGCTTGGTGTACTATAACATTCAGATGGATATCCGGTACAGATTTTCCATATTCCAAAATGCTCAGTGTAATTTCCTCTATCAACTGTAATCCATGAAGACATTCCAAATCCAATGACATGAAAAACTAATGCTGCAATCATCGCTACTGTTCCTATTAACAGACACTTCTTCACAGATGCCTTCTGAAAATTCAAAACAATATACATGTATAATAATATATATTTCAGCGTTTCATTAATTCTTGGGGATTTTTAAAACAATATTCATACATGTAGTACCGTTGCTATAAGTATGTTATGCACATTAAGTAATGTTAACATGAGAATAGAATACACATGTGTAAATAATATATAGGTATATTTTGTCATTCTTCAGGGAAAAGAAGTATTGTATTCTACCCAAAAATCTTCTCCTTATAGTTTACAAGAGTTAATTTTCTTTGTTGTCGGCCTAGATTGAGAAAAGATCTTCCGAGCTTTTTTTCACTTTCTATACACCCGCTTCGAAGTCAATTTTTTGTCGCAGCGTTCTCATAACTACCCATTGAAGATGCTTGAAAGATCAAGGTATGTTTCTATACAAATCTTGCCCTATAATTTCCTAAAAAACAAAACTGGTGTAAAAGATGAAAACTAATGCTTTCTGACTCATTGAAATTCCATGCAGAAAAATCCTACAAATCATTTTTCTCACACGTGTATTAAATGCTAATTGTGACGTCATAAACACGTGCATTTTCCCGTATTTTTTCAAAAGTTGCAGAAGACGCCAATTTTCAATGGAATTTTCTTTCAGAAAATATTGTCCACAGACATCGCCCACAAAGACTTTGAGATATATGATTTTTTATTGTTTTTTGCACAACATATAAAAAAATTATATTGTGGTTGTGGACACTATTTTCTAAAGGAAAAATACCCTTGAAATTGGTTAATTTGAGGCTTTTTCTGTTAAAATACAGAAATGCATCCCATATTTGACGTCATATTTGCAGAATAATATTTCTGTGCCATATTCTTTCCTGATTTATCAAAGTCATATACTTATCTAATATTTAAGCCAGTTTCAAAACTTCTCGATAACATGACATTTTTAGGGCACAATAAAGCTAAAACAATACCTTCTTTTTTATGCACATTCTCTGCTGAGGCATGTCGTATGGTGGGACACATTTTTGTTCAAATCCAATGTTGACTTGCTCTTAGTCCGTATGTCTGTCCGTGACTGAACTTGCGTATATTAACATGATAGTGTATATAAACATAAGAGCGGGGGTATTACGAATGAACATTGCCTCACAGAATTTTTGAAAGAATTCATTTTTTAAGAATCATGTCAATTGTCAATTAGTACTTACTAGTTGCTTGCAAGAAGTACATGTAACTTTAAGTTAAAGTTTTGTATACTGCCATTAACGAAAAGCACACGAAAAGATCTTCATGGAAAATTACTTATACGATGAAGCGCATTGAAGTGGTAAAATTTTCCGTTTGGATGGAACGTTTTGAACGATGATCAGATGGTAGGACTTAGAATAGGGCATTCTCAAATTATTTCAACAGAAGTATTTATTAGGATCTCGCCATTTTCAGTCGACGAACCACCCAAGAAAGGACATATATGTTATTCAGAGTGGAGATCAAATGTCTTCAGAGTGATCCAGATGTAAGTTTTATCTATTTACTGCAAGCAATGCGTAGATCCTTTGAGGCACATCTAAAGAGATGTTGATACCCCTTAGTAAATAAGCAACTACTGGTAGGAATTTAGACAAACGTGGTGCTTTGTTTTCAAATATTTCAACAAACGAAGTGATGATACAGGATTAAATGATAATGTTTACATCCTTTGGTTATAGAATTGCGTCTATCTTACGCACAACTTTCAATGGCAGATAATCAAAACCAAGTCACCAGATTTAGCCTATGCAGACTACACCAAGTCATTCATTTTAATAGCCATTCTTTGTAACCACTTAAACTTCGTTGCCACGCATGGTCACCGATTTTGATGAAACTTCACCCATTCTTAGTACTTGACACCAGAAACATATATCAAACAACATTTCGTTGCTATGTGTCTCGGTTGCCATGGGAACAGCCGGAAAAAATTGAAAAAAATGAGATTTTCAGCCCCTTTAAATCTTTACTGAGGCCTAATTAAAATTAGGAAAAGCCAACAAACCATTCTCACAAAAACATGACACCTTGTTGCCACTTATACTGTAAAGAAACTGTTTAGTATATATCTCTAAGTAAGTGGTAACCAAGGGTACATTTGGAATACATTTAAAATGCTGAAATATGCTGAAAAACACTCCGTATTCACTAATTGTAGGTGTTACATGCTCAAACTCAATCAACGACTTAAGAAAAACAATGAAAATGTTTATAACCTTAAGTATATAGGCATAAGCAATATTATTCTATAAATAACTTTGATGGTTGCCTTGGTAACACAGGGTAACCAAGCAAAATCAGTAACTAAGATTAGGTTATTGCTACTGTCTTGAGGAAAAACATTGAAATTCAAGACTGACAAATATGCATTTTTAGGACCTTACAAAAACAACACCAGAAGAAAAATTGGGATTAATTGCTACTTTGCGGTGTTACCATGGAAACAACGTACTAGTGGTTAAAAGTGAATTATTTTTTGCTGCATTAAGAATTAAATTGCCATTTAATCAAGAAACATATTATATGACTCACCTTGAATAGTACTAATCTGGTAGAACTGAAGTTGAATATCATATATTGATAAAGCTTGACGAAGAAAACAACACTGTTGCTATGGTTACCAAGAAGGGAAAATGTTCGATTTTGTGAACTTTATATCAATATTAAACCCTGTGTGCCAGCTTCTTGCATCCAGTTAGAGATTGGATGATAGTCAAAATTAAACGTCAGGTTAGCTGTTAATAAATATCAATCATAAAAGTTTTGGGAATCTACATTTGAGGGTACGTATCCAAGGAAACAAAATATTTTTCAGATTTTTAAGCATATTTTTTCTGCTTATTTCCATAGCAACGCTCTATTTAAAGAATCTGATCTGAATTTTTTTAAACGGGAAAATAAGGACCACACCAACATCTTTAAAAATTGATCATTAGTTATGAGGAAATGTGCTTTCTTAAAAGATAGGATCAGATTTAAACATACATAGTGTAAATTTGAAGGCTCTCTGTTGTATAAAAACCTTGGCAACCATTGCCAACCAAACTGAAATATCATAATTTGTTCTTGGTATATGTTTCAAGGCTCTTTTCTCTATTATTTGGTCACATTTCATCCTATAATTGCTTTTTATTTTTACATGTATGACTATATAAGATTCAATGAATATTTTTTTTTACTTTTTAATACTTTGTTACCATAGTAACGTAGATAATAGTTGATTTACCAAACCTGTTTATCATGCATTTGAGGCAACAGGCCTTCAACTTTTGGAAACAGTCATTGCCAATTGTTTGCTTTGCCGCAAATTTTAATTATGGGGCTCTAAACATGGTTTACTAAAAAATGTCATTTTTCAAACTTTTAAACATGTTGCCATGGTAACTATAACATATAGCAACCAATTTTTACCTGATTTTAGTTAAGGGCATCAAAGAATTTTATCATAGAGAGTTTGGAGAAATTCTGAGACTATACGTGCCACAGCTCCTATATAAAATTTCAAGTCATTATAGAGAATGGCTCTTAAATACAGATTTCAGCAGTTTTGAAATGGGTGCATTTTTATATAAGAGACCAGGGATGTATAAGATAAGGTAATTGCCCATACAAATTTAAATAAAGGGGGAAGAGCAGCTGCACAAAACTTTCCTGCTCACAAATAAATGTTTCTGGCGTTGAAGCTTGCCTTTACTGACAACTTTCACGATAACATACATGTATGTAGAAACCAATTCAATATTGTTACTGATAACATTCCTCTGAATATTGTGCTTTTAAATCAAATTCGACCAGTAAGGGATGATTTTCTGCTCTTCCTGATTACCATTTCAGCATTTCTCACCGTTTCGGTTTACTAGTAATTCAGATGCAGATCTTTGTGTTATTCTAAATATTACCACGGAATATTCAGTATATGAATAATTGATTAAAATAAAGGACGCACGGGATATGTCACGGTAATGACTTAAGCATCTTTTCTAACCTCTGGATATTTGAGGCTATGGTCACAGATTGGAATTGTTTCCGGTTTTTTCGAAATCAATCACTGTTTGTTGTCTCTACCATTTTCATTCGTTAAAACTTCGATGCTCTCGTAAGCTAATAACTTTGTTAGGAAAATAATAATTTAATTTGCACACTTGTAATAATTAAATTTGTACAGTCATTGTTACTAATTGCTGATTAACTTTGTTAAACGTTAGACAAAAAATGGATAGTTGAACCAAAAGTCTCTTTTCCAAATCTAAAATGATCTTGATTTTTTGGCCTAGTTTGTTAAGATAAACTGATAAAGTAAACAAAAGAAACTTGAGAAAAATCTCACTTACTTTCATTTCCAATTTGTTAAATCTCTCTCTTCGAGTCAAGTTCCTATTGCTACAAAATCCATCTATCGACTCAATCGAAAGCGGAAGTAGTTTCAAAAATGTTCTTTCTAAAAAGTTTAAATATACTTTTATCGACGTTTGTTATGCTGGATCGATAAAAATAAAATGGTCTTTAACGTCTTTAAAAAGAACTGATAACCAGTGAATGTTTATTGGAAAAATTAGGTTCCCTACAATTCAGGCAGGAATTTAAAAGATAAATCGTCCATGCTGTATGTTACTACTGCATGACAAATAAGTCAACGTTAAATACTTTAAAAAAGATTTATTCTTTTATTTCGTAAGGCAAAAAAATGAATTTCATAATGTTAATTATATTAACATTTTTGTTTCACAAAAAATGACTTAATATTTTTTTTTTAATTAATTCTTGAAATCAGAAATTATTTTCCTGATGAAATTAATCTCTTTTAGATTTTAGATTAAATTGTAAAAAGAACACACGTTCTTAGCAATCACATTGTATATTGTTTAAAAGATTGCAAAATGATTATAGTATTTCCTCAATATGTTTGATTCATAAATAAATTACAGTTCAAATAATTCTTCTCAAACGATCAAATATTGGAAGTCCAAAATGATTAACCAATTCCATTGTATTTAAGTTAAATGTTTTGTGAGATATTGAAGTTCAACTGATGTACGAATCTTTAAAAGTATTGAATTCCCAATACTAGTATACAATTTTGGTC